ACACCCCTCCCCCAGGCCTTCAGTACACTACTGTCTGTGTCCCTGGGTTATGCATATATGCATATAAATTCTTAGGTTAATCTCTCCTCATCCACACACCTACCCCTGCCTTCTCTCTGAGATTCTTCACTCTGTTCCATGCTTCTGTGTCTCTGGATCTATTTTATTCATTGGTTTATTTTGTTCATTAGATTCCTCATATGAGTAAGATCATGTGATACTTGTCTTTCTCTGACTGGTTTATTCCGCTAAGCATAATACTCTTCAGGTCGCTCCATGCTGTCTCAAAAGGTAAAGGATCCTTTGTTTTTGCAGCTGCATAATATTCCATGGTGTAAATGTCCGAGAAGATGATTGATATGATTTCAATCTTCTTAAACTTGTAGAGGCTTGTTTTGTGTCCTAACATGTGGTCTGTCTTTGAGAATATCCCATATGCACTTGAGAATGCATATTCTGCAGCTCTGGAATGAAATGTTCTGTAAATGTCAATTAAATCCATCTGATCTACTGTGTCATTTAGAATCACTGTTTCCTTGTTGATTTTTTGTCTGGAAGATCTATCCAGTAAAGTCAGTGGGGTGTTAAAGTCCCCTACTGTGACTATAGTGCTGTTGATCTCTCCTTTAAAGTCCTCCAGAAGTTTTTGTTTGGTTTTTGTTCTTTTCAGCCTGTGTGTCTTTTGTTCTGAGGTGGGTCTCTTGTAGACAGCATATATTTGGGTCTTGTTTTCTTATCCATTCAGCTACCATATGTCCTTTGTTTGGAGCATTTAATCCATTTATATTTAAGGTTATTATTGATAAGTACTTATCTATTGCCATTTTATTTCTTTATGCCTATGTTTCTCATCCTCTCTATTTCAACTTCTAATTACAGCAGTTCCTTTAACATTTCTTGCAATGCTGGTTTGGTGGTGATAAACTCCTTTAGCCTTTTTTTTGGTCTGGGAAGCTCTTTATTTCACCATCTGCTTTGAAGGATACTCTTGCTGTATAGAGTATTCTTGGTTTCGGATCCTTGTTTTGCATTCCCTTGAATACTTCATGCCATTCCCTTCTGCTCTGTAGAGTTTCTGATGAGAAATCAGCTGATAGCCTTATGGGAGCTCCTTTGTAGGTAACAGATTGCTTTTCTCTTGGTTCCTTTAAGATTCTGTCTTGAATTTTTAGCATTTTAATTATGATGTGTCTGGGCATGGGCTTCTTTGGGTTCTTCTTGCTTGGGACTCTGTGCCTCCTGAACATGTGTGGCTTTTTCCTTGACCAGGTTAGGGAAGTTTTCTGCCATTCAAATAGGTTCTCTAACCCTTGCTTACTTTCTACATCTTCTGGTACTCCTATGATGCAAATATGATTATGTTTCATGTTGTCCCATAGCTCCCTTAACCTGTCCTCCTGTTTTTTGTTTTTCCTTTTTGGTTCTCTGATTAACTTTTTTTCTATCCCGTCTTCTAATTGGCTGATCTGATCCTCAACTTCCCTTAACCTCCTGTTTATTTCTTCCAATGTTTTAATTTTTACTATGTCATTCTTAATTTCCTTCCTAGTTTCCATTTCTTTTCTCATGCTGTTGAGCATGCTTATGATCAGTATTCTGAGCTCTGTATCTGATAGACTGACTGCTTATCTCCATTTCATTTAGCTCTTATTCTGAAAAATTCTTTTGTTCTTTCATTTGGGACTTGCTTTTTTTGTCTCCCCATTTTGGCTGCCTGTTTGGATTTGTTTCTATGTATTAATTAGATCTGCTAGGACTCCCAGTCTTTCTGGATGGTCTCTGGTGCAGGCCAATGTCAGATGCTGTTTGTGGCTGGCCTTGAGTACCCTGCTTGAAGTTTTCTGCACTCCACAGCTTGTGGTTCCCTCTGCTGGGACTGGGTGTGTTTGGACAGGACCAAGATGTGCACCAAGGTCTGCTTTCCCAAGCCATGGATCCAGAAGCAAATCAGGCAGACGCAAAGCACCCAGGGGATGTTATTCAGTCCCTTAATGAGCCTCAGGCTGTATAAACTCCACAGTTGGGGCCAGAGGTTTTTGAGTAGGGTGGGGCAATTGCTCCCCCCTACCCCAGGCAAAAGCTGCTTGGAAGGTATACGTCTGTNTAACCCTTGCTTACTTTCTACATCTTCTGGTACTCCTATGATGCAAATATGATTATGTTTCATGTTGTCCCATAGCTCCCTTAACCTGTCCTCCTGTTTTTTGTTTTTCCTTTTTGGTTCTCTGATTAACTTTTTTTCTATCCCGTCTTCTAATTGGCTGATCTGATCCTCAACTTCCCTTAACCTCCTGTTTATTTCTTCCAATGTTTTAATTTTTACTATGTCATTCTTAATTTCCTTCCTAGTTTCCATTTCTTTTCTCATGCTGTTGAGCATGCTTATGATCAGTATTCTGAGCTCTGTATCTGATAGACTGACTGCTTATCTCCATTTCATTTAGCTCTTATTCTGAAAAATTCTTTTGTTCTTTCATTTGGGACTTGCTTTTTTTGTCTCCCCATTTTGGCTGCCTGTTTGGATTTGTTTCTATGTATTAATTAGATCTGCTAGGACTCCCAGTCTTTCTGGATGGTCTCTGGTGCAGGCCAATGTCAGATGCTGTTTGTGGCTGGCCTTGAGTACCCTGCTTGAAGTTTTCTGCACTCCACAGCTTGTGGTTCCCTCTGCTGGGACTGGGTGTGTTTGGACAGGACCAAGATGTGCACCAAGGTCTGCTTTCCCAAGCCATGGATCCAGAAGCAAATCAGGCAGACGCAAAGCACCCAGGGGATGTTATTCAGTCCCTTAATGAGCCTCAGGCTGTATAAACTCCACAGTTGGGGCCAGAGGTTTTTGAGTAGGGTGGGGCAATTGCTCCCCCCTACCCCAGGCAAAAGCTGCTTGGAAGGTATACGTCTGTCTGAGAAAGATGTCCTCTGCGGTATGGGGGAATGACTCAGCACAGGAATTCGGATGGCTGCCCTCTGAGCTCTATTCTCCCAGTAAGCGCCACTGGACTCTCCTCACATAGCTCTAGTCCACTCTGCCCTCCCCGTGCCAGAACCCAAGCNTTATGTTTCATGTTGTCCCATAGCTCCCTTAACCTGTCCTCCTGTTTTTTGTTTTTCCTTTTTGGTTCTCTGATTAACTTTTTTTCTATCCCGTCTTCTAATTGGCTGATCTGATCCTCAACTTCCCTTAACCTCCTGTTTATTTCTTCCAATGTTTTAATTTTTACTATGTCATTCTTAATTTCCTTCCTAGTTTCCATTTCTTTTCTCATGCTGTTGAGCATGCTTATGATCAGTATTCTGAGCTCTGTATCTGATAGACTGACTGCTTATCTCCATTTCATTTAGCTCTTATTCTGAAAAATTCTTTTGTTCTTTCATTTGGGACTTGCTTTTTTTGTCTCCCCATTTTGGCTGCCTGTTTGGATTTGTTTCTATGTATTAATTAGATCTGCTAGGACTCCCAGTCTTTCTGGATGGTCTCTGGTGCAGGCCAATGTCAGATGCTGTTTGTGGCTGGCCTTGAGTACCCTGCTTGAAGTTTTCTGCACTCCACAGCTTGTGGTTCCCTCTGCTGGGACTGGGTGTGTTTGGACAGGACCAAGATGTGCACCAAGGTCTGCTTTCCCAAGCCATGGATCCAGAAGCAAATCAGGCAGACGCAAAGCACCCAGGGGATGTTATTCAGTCCCTTAATGAGCCTCAGGCTGTATAAACTCCACAGTTGGGGCCAGAGGTTTTTGAGTAGGGTGGGGCAATTGCTCCCCCCTACCCCAGGCAAAAGCTGCTTGGAAGGTATACGTCTGTCTGAGAAAGATGTCCTCTGCGGTATGGGGGAATGACTCAGCACAGGAATTCGGATGGCTGCCCTCTGAGCTCTATTCTCCCAGTAAGCGCCACTGGACTCTCCTCACATAGCTCTAGTCCACTCTGCCCTCCCCGTGCCAGAACCCAAGCTGAGTGGCTGCACAAGAAACTTTGTGCATTGGCCCTTTAAGAGGGTGCCTGTATTTCCAGCCATCTCCCCTGTCAGACAGAACCCCACTGCTTTTCACAACCAGATGTTATGTGGNTTCCATTTCTTTTCTCATGCTGTTGAGCATGCTTATGATCAGTATTCTGAGCTCTGTATCTGATAGACTGACTGCTTATCTCCATTTCATTTAGCTCTTATTCTGAAAAATTCTTTTGTTCTTTCATTTGGGACTTGCTTTTTTTGTCTCCCCATTTTGGCTGCCTGTTTGGATTTGTTTCTATGTATTAATTAGATCTGCTAGGACTCCCAGTCTTTCTGGATGGTCTCTGGTGCAGGCCAATGTCAGATGCTGTTTGTGGCTGGCCTTGAGTACCCTGCTTGAAGTTTTCTGCACTCCACAGCTTGTGGTTCCCTCTGCTGGGACTGGGTGTGTTTGGACAGGACCAAGATGTGCACCAAGGTCTGCTTTCCCAAGCCATGGATCCAGAAGCAAATCAGGCAGACGCAAAGCACCCAGGGGATGTTATTCAGTCCCTTAATGAGCCTCAGGCTGTATAAACTCCACAGTTGGGGCCAGAGGTTTTTGAGTAGGGTGGGGCAATTGCTCCCCCCTACCCCAGGCAAAAGCTGCTTGGAAGGTATACGTCTGTCTGAGAAAGATGTCCTCTGCTGTATGGGGGAATGACTCAGCACAGGAATTCGGATGGCTGCCCTCTGAGCTCTATTCTCCCAGTAAGCGCCACTGGACTCTCCTCACATAGCTCTAGTCCACTCTGCCCTCCCCGTGCCAGAACCCAAGCTGAGTGGCTGCACAAGAAACTTTGTGCATTGGCCCTTTAAGAGGGTGCCTGTATTTCCAGCCATCTCCCCTGTCAGACAGAACCCCACTGCTTTTCACAACCAGATGTTATGTGGGGCACCTTTCTCAGTTCTGGTGCTCTTGGCTGGGAAGCCCACCCTGGGGATTAGGCTCCAGAGTGCTCAGTGGGAACCCTTCCCCCACTACTGAGATATCCCTCCGGACCTTCAGCTGCTGTGTGTGGGAGCCCAGCCAGCCCTCTTGAGCCTCTGCACTTCCTACCAGTCTCTATGAGGTCTCCACTATTCCTCCTTGGTTATGAGGGTGCTCTCCAGCTCATCTTCAGTTGCAGTTTACTATTCAGGATGGTTTTTCTATATTTTAGTTGTAATTTCAGTTTGGTCCTGGAAGACTGTCAGTGTAGCTTCCACTTAATCTTCCACCATCTTGGAATCTCCTTCCTATACTTTTAACTTTAATTTTTTGTTTTAGTCAATGTTTGTCATATTCAATCAGAGGAAATAAAACAATAAAAAAACTAAGTTTTCAAATAATGCTTTTTGTAAGTTTGTAGCATTTGTGCTTTTGAAACACTTCTAGACCTCTGGTGGTATATGTGCTGGTTGTAGGAAGTACCTGGAATCGCCAGGGTGTGTGTGTGGGAGAATGGGAGATGGGGGTACTTATGTATTATACCAGTTTCCTCTATTTTCTGACCATGCTAAACATGAAATGTCCCAGGTCAGCACCATCAGAGATACTCTTTTGTTAAGATGGCTGACTGCACTCAAGAGGAAGAAAGCTGGCATTAACAATCACACAGTTAGACGACAAATGTGATGAACAGACAAGAGAAAACCGCTACCTTTTCAACGTCATCAGCATACGCAGAAAGACCTGGCTGCAGTGCTTTGAAGGTCTCATGGGTCAAAGTGGGAGTTTCTAAGGGAAAAACATATTTTTAAGAAGGTACAACTATGAATCTATACACAAACATATAAATCTATACAACTAAGATTAGCCACACTTTTAAAGGCCAATCTGAAAACAGATAGATCCCAGAGTGACAGGAGCCCTTTCACCGATTCTCATCTAAATTCTGACACTAGTTTGACTAAACAAGATGAATATTATACCTAATGTTTTGGTCAGAACTTTACCTTTTTTTAAAAAAATTAACTTTATTCAGGTTTATTTTGCATACAAAAAAAGTGCATTTAAGGCTAAATTTAACAGTTAATTCCTGTTAATTCAATAAACAGAGGGGCAGGGCAGATGATTCCAAACTGCAAATATAAAAGTTATTTCCTCAATTCTGGGATGGATGCATTAGAGGGTTCTAAAAAATATGTTTTCTTCTTTTTTAAAAATTGAGTGTTTTAAATTATTTGGAGGCTGGACTCCTGTGCATACAGCAGGGTGAGTGTTCAGAGCATACAGTGGACAAGGGATGCTGGTCTGAACTCAGACACAGAGACCCAATAGGAAAAATTAGAAGCAAAACTTTTTTTAAGGACTTCTCTCCAAAAATTAAACAGTGGAATATGGCTATTAAAGGATTACACATGGACATGTGTTGTCTTAAACTCAGCCTCAAAACCATTTTTGGAGGTAGATAGGTCCAGCACATAAATATGTATTTAACTTGCAGTAAGTTTAAAAACAAAGCAGATGAAAAGTAAATAAAATATGTCATGATGGCTTTGGAGAGAGCTACTCAGGGTGTCTGGCGTCACCAGCTCAGTTAAATACACAACATGGCGTTGACTCAAAAGGCACTGAAAGTCAGTAAAGAGCCAGAGGAGAGAAGAGAGAACCCCAGTTTGACCAATAGGCTTGCTGAATAGTCAGCAGAAAACACTTATTGGCTAGAGGCTAGAGAGACAACCCTCAGAGCCGATGGACACAAAGAGGTGCTGGGAAAGGAGATCAAAAGGAGGAACAGGGTAAAGAACTGGACAGTGATGAGGATCACCCTATAAGAGAAGCCAGCAAGTGAAGATGCCTAAGCCCCTACCCAGGGAAGTAAAGCAGACAGGCTCCGGCTTCAGTTCCACTCTCACTGCTGAGGCCACGGACCTACTGACAGCTCTTTTTTGGCTTGGGTTCTGAGTCTTTGCAATTATCAGACTTTTCTAGACTCCAAGCTCCACTCACCTGAATCTGGGCTTACTTCCTGTCTTAAATTCACCAACACGACCTCTGGGCTAAATCATGATCCCAGCCACCTGACCTGCCTGTGCATGCTGGGAGGAGACAGGCTACCAAACACCCTCTGGGATCTCACTTGCCCCTAGCTGGTAGCCAGATGCTAGTACAAGAATATTTTGGGATTCCTGGGAAATTTAGATTCTTTGGCCCCAACCCATACTCTGAGTCAGTATCACTGGGTCACTGCATTTTTTACAAACTCCCAGGTAAGTCTAAGGCAGGGAGTCTAGCCTATACCCTGAGAAACCACCGTCTTTAAGGGGAGGTGATCCCAAGAGCTCTGCTGTGCAGAGGAGAAAAAGCAGCACACAGCTAGGGATTTCTGCCCAGACAGGATACCTCCAGGCTGCCAGGTGAGTTGAAAGATATGCACTCGGGTGCCAGTGCTTCCCGCGTCAAACATGATGCCATAGAAGACCTTGTGACCATGTGCAGTCGTTCCCGGAGGATCTCGAGTCTGCTGGCCCCTGTGGGCCCCTGAGGTTGCCTCAGTGATGCTGAAGAAGGCCTGCGTGGCGAAGACCCAGTGCCACTTGATGTAGGCGATATAGATGAACAGGCACACAAACAGTCCCAGGGGGTACGCCACCTTCATCCTCTTCAGGTTCCCATTATTTGGTATTTTTCTCATTTCTTTATCTGTTGAGGACTGTGCCACAGCTGCTGGTGGAAAGGCAGAAGCAGGAAAAATACGTTAGGCTACGAACTTCCAGGGCAAGTCAGAAATCCCTGTGCTCAGGGACAAAACGTTGAACTAAAAACTGGTCTGCATTTTCTCCTGTGAATCAGAAGAGTCACTTGATTCTCAAAATGATTCTGGAAGGTGTGATCCCTACAGGAGGAACTGAGGTTTATAAGACTAGGTGAGCTGTCCAAGCTTGTAGGTCCTGCAGGTGCTGATCTGGGGCACAGACCACAGCCTAAGCATGTTTCCCTCTAGGTACTGTTCCAGACAAACAGCTTTTAGACTCGTCCTATTTTAAAAAGTTATGTGTAAATGATGTCCCAAAACCTTTCACGGTAACAGGAACATGTATCCAATCCACTCTTTCAATTCTCACTTTTTCTCCATATAGTAATTTACTTTTCAAAAGGGTTAAAATCCTATCCTTTGGGAACCGAGAGCCCCAGACAAATCTGAAAAACACTGCTCGTTTTCCTGGAAAATTCACAACTGATACATCTTTTCATTCATGTAGCATATTCCTGCCAAGAAGGAAATAAGTGTGCTTTCAAAGCCTATAAAAGTTCTACCTGAGTAGCAAAATAAATGAATTTGGCACCATTGATTTTGGTTCAATGCACCCTCAAAAGGAGCATGTGTTCAAGTTTTATTAGCAGCTTCTAGTGCAAGGCACCATGTGGGAATGTGAAGCTTCCCAGGACAGGAAGGGAGGTGCCTCATTCTCAAGGCTCCCTAACGCTCAGGGAAAGTCCACCATCTGTCCATCATTCTCTGCCAGTTATGGTAAGTGGGATGGAAGTTCCTAGGAGAAAGGGACAGGGATGTGCCAGGTTGAAAGCAGGATGTAGGTTTAAGCTCTGCCCACAGCAGTGTGTGACTGTGGGCAACTTATCCCCTTGCGAGGGGCTGGTCTCCGCATCTGGAAGGTGGGGCTACTCACAGAAAAGCTGCTCATGCTGCTGTTTCAGGATACAAAGAGATGTGAGATGTGATCAGAAAAGAATACAGAGAACACAGATATAGGATGATGGTTTTACAGAAGGGTGGCAGGAGGTAACGTGCCCCTGGAACCAGGGACAGTGATGGCAAAAGTGCTAGAGGACAGTGTGACTGCACTATCTGGGGATGGAAAAGTGGAGCCAGGCTATCAGTGCAGTGGGCAAGCTTACGGTGGCCTTTATGCCAACCTTGAGGCTGTCCAGGTAGAAAAGAAATACAGTGGCACCTTGGTTCTCAAACTTAATTTGTTCCAGAAGACTGTTCCAGAAGGCTGTTCGAGAAGCAATCTGTTTGAAAACCAAATCACTTTTCCTACTAGAAATAATGTAAATTGAATTAATTCATTCCAGACCCCCAAATGATTCGCTGTTTTAACCTTTCTTATATACAGTTCATGTCTAATGTACTGTTTGATCTATAAACAAATACTTCTTTTCTTAAATGTATTGAACCACCCCCTACTAGCCTTAAACAAATCACATTCAGCACTTGTTTCAGGGGTGTCTTTCAGGAAGTCAGATGCAGCCATCTTCGCTTTTTCACATATCACTGCCTCAGAAATGCTGTCATGGCTAGCTGCTTTTCATTTATCCAAATCAACAACAGTTTTCCTACCTCTTCAATTGCCTGTGATCATTGTTCCTTTCACACTCTTAGCAACATTAGCACTCTTGATGGCCTCTTTTTGTTTTAAAATTGTGCTAATCATCCATTTTTCCAGCAACACAAGCAAAAAAAACCCACAAAAATATTCACAGCACAATTTCCTGAGATGTTAACAATACAAAGTTTAGCAGTACACTAACTTGCATTCTCTCCTTTGTTTGTGGCCTGAGAGATGCTTTTTGTCATGCTGATATATAAGCATGAAAAGGTTGTCAGATTGAGAACCGAAGTTTTGTTCAATAATCGAGACATTTTTTTCACAAACAACTTGGTCAAGAACTGAATTGTTTGAGATGGGAGACATTTGAGAACCAAGGTTTGACTGTAGAACAAAAGTAGTCCTTGGCAGGGAGTATAGAGTACAGGCCTTCTATGGCCCCTCCTTTCTGGGATCTAGCCCCACAGCCACATCTGGATGCCCTCAGGTCCTGGAGTTCAGGTCAGTGTACACCACTTAAACCTCCAGCTGCCTCTGTTCCCCTGCATAGGGGAGAGGCATCCTCAGCAGCCCATGACCAAGCTCAAGTAGGGATCAAATCACCCCTTCCTGAACAGGGCTACGAAAAAGGCTCTTTTGATAGGTGCTGAGGAGAAAACCTCCCTCCCCAAAACTCTACCTCTCCAAGACTCTCCCTGCCCAGCCCCTGCTCCTGCTCCACCTGGGACTTCTCTTGGGTCTCACTGCACTTGGGGGTTCCCCAATGCTCTCAGAATGTCATACCTCCTGCTCAGATCTGACCCCTATTGGCCTCTGCAGCATCAAATCTCTCTTGCTCTTGCACATGGTCCTCTAAAAACCTAGTGCCTTATTTTGTCCCTAGAACTCAGGTTCTCCCTGCCTCAGGCCCTTTGCACACACTGTTAAGCATTCCCAGAAGGCTCATCTGCCAACCTGGCCGATCTTCTCTTCACCCCTAAACTTCTGCTGAAATGTTACTGTCCCCAACTTAAACAGCCTCCACCCCTGTTATGCTCTCTGTGAGCTCCCTAGCCCCTTCTTCCCTGGCACCACCATAATCTGTCATGATGCCACTGGCTGTGGGATTAGCTCCTGAAGCGCTATGTCCCCTATTGGAGAGGCGAGGAACTCCCACGGGAAGGACTTAGCCTGTCTTATACTGCTGCTGCCTGGCCTAGAATACAGTCCTTGACCTAGAACAGCAGAGGAAGCTCATCCACACTATCCATCTCCCATACTGTCACCAAACATACCAAAAAAAAAAAAAAGTCCCTATTTAAAATCCTTTAAGGGGAACAGGACATCAGCAAGGTGGTGTAATTGGGAGCTCTAGGCCCTCATTCCCCCATGGAAATATTTTAAAAATTGGTACTGGCTAAAATATTTTATAGGAGTTCTGGAAAACAGTCAAAGATCCACAGCAACCAAGCAAATGCCCAGTTAAGAAAAAGTGACATTCAGGATGGTTGGGATTTTTGTGGTGTAGGAATTTTTGTTTTGCTTACTCACCCTTGCCCTACTCCTTCCCATGTCAAACCATCTGAAAGCAGGAGCACCAACTCCAGTTCCTTCCCTCAAACTGGAGGGTACAGAGAAGATCTTTTGGCAACATCCTAACTTGTCTTGGGGCTACCTGAGGGACAGGTCTCTGTTTTGCCTGACTTGGAGCTGAGATGGGAAAAGCTACAGAAACAGCAGTGGGTACTCTGTGTGAAAGCCATGGGGTGACTGCAGACCCACACATGCTTGGGGCAAGAGAATGAGTGGATGGGGGAAGATACAATAGAACATCTAAAGCCCAAGGAGGAGTTCAGATGAGGCACTTTGGAAATTAAGACATTTAAAAGCAGCCATGTATACGGGGGAATTGAAAATAACACACACACACAAGCCCAGGGAAGATACATGCTCAGAAAAAATTCTGAGAATAGCTTAAGCCTTTGCTCCAAGATGACCTTAAGGATCAGAAACATCCTACTAATCAGTGGTCTTTCATGGCACAGAGCCAGTCTGCAAAGACTGGAGAAAGTGGCTATTTTTCTAATGCCGAATTTTTCAAAAAGAAAAAGAATTACAAGGCACACATAGAAACAGGAAAACATGGCCCATTTAGAGAAAGAAGAATTGGTAGAAACTGTCCCTGAGAAAAAATAGGCATAGGATGTACTAGATAAAGACTTTAAAACCAACCATTAAATATATTGAAAGAGGTAAAGAAAACCCAAAGAACTAAAAAATAATTTGGAAAACAATCTATGACAACAAAATGAGAATATCAACAAAGAGATACAAATTGTAAAAAGAAATCAAACAAATTGTGGAGCTAAAAAATACAATACCTAAACTGAAAAATTTACTAGAGGGCTTCAACAGCAGATTTGAACAGTCAGAAGAATCAGTGAACTTCAACAGCAAACACTTAAAAAGTCTTAAGAAAAGTGAACAGAGTCCAAAGTACTTATGGAACACAGTAAGGGAACCAATATGCACGTTAAGGGAGTACCAGATGAGAAGAGAGAAAGGGACAGAGAGGTAAATTGAAGAAATAATGGCTGGGCCCTGGCCGGGTAGCTTGGCTGGTTAGAAAGTCGTCCAAATATGCAAGGTTGCAGGTTTGATCTCCAGTCAGAGAACATACAAGAATCAACCAATGAATGCATAAATAAGTGAAACAACAAATCAATGTTTCTCTTTTTCTCTCTCTCTCCCTCTTCCTCTCTCTGTAAAATCAATAAAATTTTAAAAGAGATAAATAGTGGCTGAAAACTTCCCCAAATTGTGGGAATACAAAGATTTACAAATTCAAGCTCAATAAACTCCAAGTAATATAAACCCAGAGACTCATGCTGAAACACATTATAATCAACTGCTGAAAGCCAGAGATAAAGAGAGAATCTTTAGAGCAGCAAGAGAAAAGTGACTCATCATGTACAAAAAATACTTAATAAGATTATAAACCAATTTCTCTGCAGAACTTTGGAGGCCATATAGCAGTGGGATAATACTCAACGTGCGGGGGGGGGGG